GCCTTAAACTTTTTCTCTTCAGCAATAATTGTGTGGCACTGCATTTTAATCATGTCAATTATATTGTTTCACAAGGCAACATAAAAATGAAATATTTTCTTTATGCTCTTTGGGTGATTGAATGGTTCCTGAAGGCACATTGGAGGAGTTTTGCCTTTGTCTCTGAAAGTCTTTGTTACAGACCTTGTTTTGTACTTAAAGTTACCTGTTTTTTTTGTGGGGCCTCTCAAATTAAAAGAAAGAAAGCAGCTAAAGAGAATGTACCAGCAGAGTTCTCTACAGTACACTAATCTAGAGATAAAATAGATTTTGATCATGAATTCAAGAACCCCCAGGGGAATGCCACAGCAATTCATAGATTCATAGATGTTAGAGTCAGAAGGGACCTCAGCAGATCGAGTCTGACCCCCTACCCTGGGCAGGAAAGAGAACTGAGGTCAGACAACCCCAGCCAGGTGCTTGTCCAGTCTCCTCTTAAAGACTCCCACTCCCTTGGAAGCCCATTCCAGATTCTGGCAACCCTTACTGTGAAGAAGTTCTTTCTAATGACCAACCTAAATCTACTCTCCGACAATTTGTGGCCATTGTTCCTAGTTACTCCAGGGGGTGCCCCAGTAATTGGCAAATCAGTTTTAATTTTGTAGTGTCTCTAAATTATAGCTCCCTCTTGCTCTACAGTAATCTGCTATTTTCTGGTCGTGCTCTGTTTTTGATTATGTTGCAGGGCTGATTGTAAAAGTGTTTCCTCTTTAGGGAGCTGAAAAGGGGTTATGGTAACAGCTGCCACCCAAATAAAGTAAATACTAATCCTTTCCAAAACAGGGGTAAATTCCTTTTAGAACTTGGCAGTAGCCAGGAAATGAGATGTGTTTCCTGCCAGCATCTGATTTATGTGCCAGACCCTTATTTAAAAATGCTCTTGAGTAATGCAGTTTCCAGTTGTGATAGATGTCTTCTGAGGGGAAGGTGGGATGGATACTGATTGCAACAAAGCTTAATTTTTTAGGAAGGGCGAATGATTCAGGGATGTAATCAGGTCTCATTTTGTACAGTTTAACAAGTGTTACCCCTTTGGAAATGTTATGCTGCAGCAGAAACTCTTGGGTGCTCTTGCTATTTCTAAACAAGTTCACTGTCTGACTAGTAAGGGGGTTTATTTTTCCTAAGCAGGGTAGGAATGACTATTGGGATTCCCCCATAATGGAGCAGAAGTAGGACATCTTCTGTGCAAGACTTATCTGCTCTGGGAGAAGGAGTTCCTGGCTGCACTATGAGATCTTCCTTGGAGGGAAGCTCCTGTTTTCATAGTAGTTTCCCTTCTTTGCGGAGAGGCCCCTGAATTATGACAATTTCCTTTCTGAAAAAGTCCTGGTTGCATTCGGGCTTCCTCGGTGGGAATCTAAAATTTAACATGCCATTTTGGAGTTGAATTCCAATGGAAATGCAGATGCGCATTGACCTGCAAAGGCTCCAGGATCACTGAGTCTGAAACAAGGGGAGAAGTTTTGACACGAACAATGTGACCTGTAACTGGAGCTACCAAACACCTGGAACTATACAATTCTTTCCAGTATCTGCCTGGCTTCCCAAAGAATGAGCAATTGTGACTTTGAAGCAATGCCTGAAAGGATATAGGAAGCAAGAACAGTGAACTGCAAAGAATCACAGACTGTTCAGATCTGTAGTTCCTGTTTCCATAAGTTTTGTGGTGCTTGTTGTGTGGGTAAAAGCATAGGCAGCAGCTAAACATTAGGACACATCAGTATCCAAAATAAAACTCTATGCTTGGTAAGGCACAAGCTCCTATCTGTGATGCAGGTCTATGTGGCCAACTTGCTTACTGAAATTATTTTCTGTTCTTGGCCACAGACTGTCCTGTAGTGGTGAAACCAACACCTGCAGTTTAACAGATGTTCCCAGCTTTCTGTCTTTTTAACAGGCTATCATTAATATTTGCCATCTAGCTTCTATTTGAAAGTAGATTGTATGAGACAAAAGATAGCAGGAGCATGAAGAACTGTTGCAAATACTAGGTAGCATCAAGGAGGTGAGAGATTAGACCTAAGTATAAATTGGTGCTAAAACCATGTATTGCTAATTTATGCAACGTCTAAATTGTTCTGACATCATCCTGGGATTAACTCCCCTGTGACTCATACATTCTAGTCAAAGGGTTTTGCTAGAATTAGAAACAAAGGGAAGGAGTTCGGGAGTTGGCACATTGCTTGCCAAATCATTTATTATAGGCTTCGCTATTCAAAAGTAATTATTTCATCAGTGGTAATTTATTGGATGTTTTGAACAGGTCATTAAGAAAAAACAAGCTGTGCATTTTAGCTGGAAGTAGGTTAGGCAAATGCTACACATGTATAGACATTACTGCCTTTTCCCAACTCCTTGCTCCCAACCCATTGCCAACTAAGCCAATGGAATGAATCCTGATGGAAGACGGATTGAGCTCTACAGGAGGCACATTGACCTATCATATTGGTGATTCATTCCACTATCCCCAGATATCTACTGTAGCAGTAATAATGGTGTTCTGCACCCTGTCCACATTTTATTTAGACATCTGCTTCTTAAAATACAGCAAAACCACAGAGAAGGCATTTGCCTTTTGCATTGGGTGCTCAAGTAGAAGCAAAGTAAATAAGCATGTCTTTGCTGCTTGAAATGATCTCAGGAATGCAATGAAGGAGACTATACCAGTTGTCTGTCTAGAAGCAAAACACTTCTAAATTGCAAAAATTATTTGAACATTTATATAACTAAACAAGCAGAAGAGACTACCAGCTCTTCCCATGTTTGCTCTGCCTGAGTATTTCTGTCATAGTGTGGAAGGGTAAAATAAATCAATTTAGGAAAGCTATTTGCATGTTCATCTTTCTTTACTCCATGAAATATTTTGGATGCAGGAGCTCTTTGCTCTTTGAAGAGCAAGACTCAGGAAAGTCTACATTAGCTTTCAGTTGCTGATACATAGCAGTGACCTGCCATGGAGTAGGATTTGTCAGGGAGTGTGTGCTGATAATATAATACTTCATGTGTTTCATCTGTAATACAGGGGCTGTTTGGTGGGATAACTGCCATCTTAGATGACAGGGGTATAGGTTGCAGCTGTGTTGGTCTAAGAACATAAGTAGACACAGTTTTTTGGGGATTGGATATCAGATTTACCCAAAAAACCTTGTATGTCATTTAAGATCAGACATTTAACAGGCCAACAGAAACAGCTAATGGATAAAGCATAGAAGAACAGGGAGGAATGGCAGGATTGGCTTCCTTTTTATATGCAATACACCACAAATCTATGCTACCACCTATATATCTATCTTGAATATTGCTCCCTTATTTGGGGGTAATGCCCGTACTTAAGGATGGCACATGCAGATTTGTTCAAAAGTGCTAGGATGGTGACATGCAATTTCTCCTCACCAATAAGCAGTAGTGTAACTGAGGGGAGACAACTGGGGCAGCAGCCCCATCACTGCCTTTGCAGGGGTGGCAAAAGCTGACATTATTATTTCCCTCGATTTGGCACTGGTGAGGCCATATCTGGAGTACTGTGTCCAGTTTTGGAACCCCCCACTACAGAAAAGATGTGTCCAGTAGAGGGCAATGAAAATGGTTAGGGGGCTGAGACACATGACTTCTGAGGAGAGGTTGAGGGAACTGGGGTTATTTAGTCTGGAGGACAGAAGACTGAGGGGGGATTTAATAGCAGCCTTCAACTGCCTGAAGGTGGTTCCAAAGTGGATGGAGCGAGACTGCTCTCAGTGGTGGCAAATGCAGAACAAGCAGCAATGGCTTCAAGTTGCAGCAAGGAAATCTTAGGTTAAATTAGGAAAAATTCTCAGCAGGTGGGTAATAAAACACTGTAACAGGCTGCCCAGAGAGGTGGTGGAATCTCCATCCTTGGAGGTTTTTAAAAACACAGCTAGACAAAGCCTTGGTTGGGATGATCTAGCTGGGGATGCTCTTGCTTTGAGCAGGGGGGTGGACTAGATGACCTCCTGAAGGGACCTCAGGAGGTCATCTAGTCCACCCCCCTGCTCAAAGCAAGAGCATCCATTCTCATTTCCAACCCTCATTTTCTATGATTGCCACAGCAGTGGCGATGGAACCACTACCAATTGGCATGGCAGGAGCCAGCGTTGTCCTCAGTACCATGTGGCTATTCTGGGCAGACTACCTGCAGCACAGAACTGAGCTGTTATACCTCTGAAGATCAGGACACAAATACTGGCAAAGAGTCCTGTGAGATACAAGTTTCACACACAACGTAGTCACAAGGCCCTCAAAGGCCCTCACTTAGTTTGAACAGGTACAGTCTCTTTTACTGTGAAATTACTTCTTTTGTAGTCATCCTTTACAAGAAAGTAGTCACAAGGCACTTCTAGTGCAAAAAAACCCAGCCCTGTTGAAAAGGAGAGGGCTTGCTGCTAGTCTAGAGTAAGCATTCCCTGACAGTACCCCAAATCATCTCAAAATGGCTGCTTTCTAGTAAACAAACCTACTCATTCTCATGTCCATTTTGGTAGACACGGCATCATGGTATTGGAATAAAAGATCCTTGCATGTTGGATTCTCAAGACCAGACCTCTACAGATTTTAGCCCCTACAGCAGTAATTCTCAACCTTTTGAAACTCAAGCTGCCCTTGTTAGACTCAAGGTGCCCTTCAGACAATATCAGTTCATGGCTTTCATTCATTTCTGGACTATGGAAACACAGATAAATTCCTCTGTTGCAGCAGGTCTCAGTGTTTTTGATACTATAGACTCCTATTTGAAATCTCTAGGTTTAACATGTGAATCATCTGTAAGTGGCACCAGGTGGCACCCCAGGGTGTTTGGGGACCCTGATTAAGAATCACTGCCTGCCCCAGAGGGCAGGAGATGTCTCTTTTCATGTGGAGAAGTCCCTTTCCTTTTCATTTCCCAAATGCTCAGGCATGCAGATGAATAAAAACAGAGTCCTTGCTTCTGATGTATGTCTTTAATGATTTAAAGCAAAAGCAGACAATGGAAAACTAAATAGAAGACTATGTGCCTAAAGGAAGATTTTCTCTCATTTTTATACACAAATAAATAGAGTGCAACAAGGGCTTAGAAGAGAGGGAGGTGGAAAATGGAAAGCACTGAATTACTCTTGGAAAATTACAAAGGTCTACTACAGTCTCTTCTTGCCCCTCTATCAGTGTGTCATTATGTTCATCTCCTTCACTTCACTGGTCTCTGGATGGCTCTTCTGATGCGTTTCACTGCAGTCTCTCTGGCCCCTTCCACTAACAGTTGCTGGGTCTTTTTAGACCCTTCTGGTACATCACAGATAGTGCCTTGACATTCACAATGCTCCACGTGCACATACTCATAGTTCACCCTTTGTCCATCAGGGCACTGTAGTATAACTCTCCTTATGCTAGTTATCGACTCCCTGCAGCAAGTGCACTTGTGGTTCATGGAGTTGGCCTCAGCAGAGTATCTGTTTGTTAGTATGGACAAAGATACCATTACCCATTGTTAGACATTAGTATGCAGTATAAGTGTCTTTTTTTGGTGAATAAGCTACTGTAAGGAATTAGGAATAATAAGCAAAACAACCTTTAACCATGTGAATCAGAAGAACAGCTGCTTTAAAGCTAGTGGAGCATCACAAGCAAAATCCAATTTCATTTAATGGATGACCAAAGTGCAGCTTGAGACACTCGCTAAGGTACCTAACTATTGTATAGGAAAGATTCTGTTTCTCCCCTGTGCACATAAGTGCTCCTGTCCTATGAACAGGGAGACATTTGCACATTTTGGATGGTGGCCCTATTCCTAGGGTCAGGGCACTTGCACAACCAGAGAGGTAATATAATCATGTCTACTAAATGGATGTCCAGGAGATTTGGGCACTTAACTCCCTTAGACTCCTTGTGAAATGTCCAGCCTTGATGACTCTTAAATTCTTTCTGCTCACAGCAGATCAGATGTGGAATAGCTAGCTGCAGTACAAGCTTCCCTGAATCAGCACATCCCTGACCATTAAGCATCCTGTATTAGATCATTGTTTTTTATGCTGGGGCCATATTTTTGTTATTTTTCTAACCAGTGTGAAGTCATTATTGGGATGTGCAGGCACTTTTGCAATAGTAACAGTCCCCCTGGACAAATTTGGATCTGTTTTCTTTGTTGATTAAGTGTATGTTTTTCTCCATAAAAGGGCTGTTGACTGTACTTTATGGCAGATGGAAAATGATAGTTTAATTGGAAAACGTGTATTGTTTTTGAAATGTATTAAAGCAGTCATCCTCCAGGTATATGCATCTCAATTATCTTTTGCATTCCCTTTCCAGCACAACATTAATTCCATTAATTTAATCATACACAGACTTTTAACAAATGTGGGTTTTTTTCAGTTTGCTATACACATGTGCACCTTTGAATTCCTCTTAGAAAGTGAGTGCATGTGTCTGCCTCTTTTTCTCCCCAACTGTATATGTTAAATTTTTAAAAGCAGCTTCTCTGCTCATGATCAGGCCTCGTTAATGTTTGAGTTCATTACCATTATAGGAAACATCCCAAGCTGTACCATACGCAAGCTGCTCTAATACGAATGACAAGTGAACTGGCTCTCACTTAATAGTCGAGAAGGCATCATCATGAGTCTGGGGCCAGAGATCCCTTTGCTATGGACCTTGTTTCTAAAATGAATAAACCATTCAGTCACAAATTTCAGTACCTGTGATTCTGAGAGCTGATTCAGTTCCAGATCTCCCACTGTTCTTCAACTTGGCTATGTATTGTCCCTTTTATATAAACAATCTGTATGCCAGTTAAATTCATGTCTCATTGTCCAGTTCAGTTTACTTACAGTGAGTAGGTTCCACATGTTCCCTCACACTGAGTCACGTTGACTCTCCCCACAGAAATACAGCCTTGGTGCATGATATAGTCCATAACTTGACTGATAGAACATGATGCTGGTGTATCACGAGGTATGCCTGTCGAATAAAAGTGTGGTAAAGACCTTCTGTGAAATGGCTGTAAAACTACCTTGGTGTTTTAACATAGGCTGTGTCATCAAAAAAAAACTGTTCTAAAAAACCAAAAACTGTCTTTGGGAATAAATTCTATGCACACTTTAGTTATCTAGCAAGTTCAAACATTTTAGCACTTAGCATTATCCCTTATACCCTCCATGATTACTTGAAAATACTTTCTAAAGTATTTGCTTTAATCCAGTTTCTGGTATAGGGACTATAGTGTATAGATAAAAGGAGTCAGATAAGATAACTATAGGGGTTCCATCTGCTCTTAGTATGAATTATAAGTTATAGAACAGGGGTGGCCAACATGTAGCATGTGCACAATAAGTGGCATGAGAAGTTTCTTTGTGTGGCAAGAGGTAGATTGTATTAGGTACAGGCAACACAGAAGCAGATAGAACAGGGGGCAGAAAGAAGAGCGGCAGATCAGACAGGGGAAGGGGATTAAAATGGTACTCAGGGGGCACATCTATACATGCCTATTAATGTGCAGCAATAAGCACTGGAACTTATTGCTCCAGAGCTAATTGATGCCACGCATGCATCTGCACGTGCACCCAGGATCACAGGACACTGAGCTGAAGCAGAGCAGCCCTGAGAGGCAGAGGGCCCCAGGGGTCAGCCTGCCAGCCTGGGGAAGCTCCACCCAGCTCAATGTGCTGTTGAGGGGCTGGCTAGGGCATGAGGATTCTTCAGTGTGGGACTAGCTAGCAAGCAGCCGCCTCACTGAAGCACCCTTGTGCCCTGGCCAGTCCCTCCAGAGTCTACACATGCGCTGCTGCAGTTTTCTAGTCTGCAGCAGGATAGTATTTACAAGTAAATTAGTTTACTCCAGCCTAATAGGAGCACATGTGTAAACACCAAGACATTTACTGAATAGCTAATTAGTCAATTGTGCAGTAAACGTCTCGTGTAGATGTGCCCAGGGAAATCGGGGCTAATTAGTGGCACACCTGTCAAAGAGGTTGGACCCCACAATTATAAACTACCTTCTGAACATCCCCCCTATTAGGCATACAGTAAGGCAAAGAAATTATAAAAAAGTTAGGAAAAAAATTAATGGTTTGTTCTACTAAATTATTTGAGTTTATACAAAATAAATGTGAACCCATGCATACATGTGTGAATGGTTTTGTGGAGGCTGAAAAAGGAAAAGCAATGGCTTCTTAACCAGTGATTTTAGAATCTACACATGTGCATCTACACATGCTAATTTAAGGTGCGTTAGCCAATTTTAAGGTACATTAAGAATGAGGGTCTATGTGTTCACACCCTTAATGCACCGTAAAAATGGCAATTTTAGGCTCTTCACACCTAAATTTGATACCTGTGAAAGCAGGTATCAAATTTGTGTGTGAATAGCAAGACTGCCTTAATGCACACGTAGATGCACTAAGACACATAAATGCTATGTATGTCAACTAAAGTTAGTCCCAAGTCAGTGCACACACCACATTAATGCACCTTACTGTGTACATGTGTATACAGGTGCCTAAGTCACCTTAATTCCATATCACGCAAATACACATTAAATTTAGGCATACGTAAAAACATGTGTATGCACACCCATTGATTACCTGCTAGGTGATATCAACATACCACAAAAATACTATTAGTATCAAAATCACTAAGACCGAAGTTTCAGCCAGTCAGGCCTAGCACGCCAGTTATTAGAGATGTTTAAAAGAAGCTGCTGGAGAGACTTGGCACAGAGTTGTAATGCCAAAGAGAAAACTACTAGTCCTTATTTAGGCACTTCTCAGATAATGCCAAAGAGAAAACTACTAGTCCTTATTCAGGCACTTCACAGCCCTTCCATATTGTAATGCACTGAAACTGAGCTGCCCTATATAGTGATCTCACCCACTGAGGAAGGAAATTCAGAAAGAAAAAAAAAAGTCCCTAAGCTTTAAACAAAGATGTGAACTTGATTAAGAAAGCACTATCATTCCTTTTCCTGACCTGTCTCAACAGGCAATTTTGAATCAAACCCCATTCATTGACGTGCTACTTTACTAATTCATTCCGCAGTAGTCTTGCATTTTTACTGCATATCACCTAAGATCTGTTATGTACGAATAGTGAGCTTTTGTCTTCCTAGACTGAAAGCTCATTGGGAAAGTGGTGCTCTAAGTGCTCTTAAAAACAGCTAAGCTGAATATATATATATTTAGTTAGTTAGTTAGTTAAATACATATTAGCAATTGCATCAGTTCTCAAAAAGAAAAACTGGTCCATTTTAAAGAAAACAGTGTTTCTGTTTTGTAGTGGACATATGTTTGCTGAGCAGTTGTACTCACATGTTTTACAGCACCCATTAGGTAGGTAGGAAATAGTACCCTGGGGGAAAAAATGGAAAAAAGTCAATACTATCTTTCTGCATTGTGGAATTTTGTACAACCCCCACACTGCCCCAGAAGAACAGAATTATTTCCTCCATGCTTGCAATTAGTAGTTGAAACTATAAACTATGATACAGTATAAACTAGAATAAGAGTCTTCTCTCTGGTCTTACAGCCTAAGACCTACAGTAGAATCTGCTGAAAAATACAATTATTTGAAGGAAAAGCCCAAGACATATGACATTCACCTCAATTATTTAGCAACAATTCCACAGTTTTATATATGAGCTCTCTGTATATCCCAACACCTTAGACTGAAAGGGTTTCTGTACACAAGCTGGGAGGCTGCTCTGGCACCTGTAATTACAGTGCGTTGGAGCAGACTCAATTAACTGAGTCTGCTGGAGTGTAGTAATTACTGTGCTCCAGCCAGCCTCTGTGTGCCATTCATCAGTGTTCCTGTGCTTCAAAATGGTAGTGGGGGCATGTAGGGTTTTGCCAGCTAGCCTGGCACAAATCAGTCCTTGAGCTCTTTAATCAGCAACAGTCTTTCTCTGGGCTCAGAAACACAAACTATAATGCCCTGGGTTCTTCTGCTTCCCAGGGCTCAGGGAAAAGCAAACAATCCACATGAACTCACCTGTAGCATGCCCAACAATGCAAGCTTCACTCCCAGCCAGGTTTAGTTCTCTTCTTCTTGCAGCCACTGTAATTAAAGTGCCCTCTTCCCAGAGTGCATATAAAAATGCCCAAAGTGGGTGTGTTTAAACCTTGGCCTGTTCCTTGCAACTACTCTGTCTACATGGCACTCAATAAATTTGCTGCCCTTTGATCTGACAGAATATAAAACGTTAAGACATTATAGATGACTATTTTGAGGCTATGGGAAGATAATTGCCAACTACAAACTTCAATGTATATGTAGTAGATGAACTATGTGCCCCTGCGTGGATGGCAGCTTGCTGAAGATAATTTAATAGAAATAATAATATTAGCATTTCTGATCAGGGATTTAATACTTTTAGTAAAACCTAGTATGGCCTCTCTTGCTACTGTGGTGGCTACATCAAACTAAAATGAGAACTGAGGGTGAGCATTTTGCATTTACTTACAGGCTTACAGTTCTGCTCATTGAATGGTTGGCAGGTAATCTTGGAGGTGGAGGAGATGAACTGGTCATGGAAATTCACACAGCTATAAAGAGTGCAGTTGTCTCTTGGATCATTTTTTATTTCAGCAGGCTATATAAAAATGGGAATAGCAGAGATAAATTGAGAAATGTCTCTGAAATCTTCTTATCCTCCAAAAGTGACTTCCCTCTCATATCTCAGTCTATAGACTGTAGATACACAACTGTACTGGCTTAGAAAGGGATATATCTGCATTCTGAAGTTGCGTTGATTGAGGTGATCTCTATATTTCTATAAGGAATTTCTCTTGAGCTGAGTGCACACATGCACACTCAGGGTCTGTGAAACGGGCCATATTCAATTTGGATTTGGATTCAGCCTGAATCTGGGACTGTGATTCAATTCGTTGATTCGGATCACTGTCCCCAATTCGATTCGGCCGAATCCGAATCTGAAGATTCGATGCTGATTCGGAGAATCAGTGATTTGGCCATAGATTCAGCTTTAAATGTTTTTTCTACATACCTCGAGATACCAGGCACAGCTTGTGAATGCTGCAAAGCTGGGGCAGATGGAGCATCCCACAGGAGCATGGGGGGTGCCCCCATGTGATCAGTGGCGAACCTGGAAGTGGTTCTGGGTCTGCCGCCGAGCACGTGGGCCCCCCCCCCCCACCCTCCTGGCTCAGCAATCATCCATGAGGTGACCCCGGTTGCTCCCCCACAGACCCAGGAGGCACCAGTCGCCAAGCCAGAGGGGCATGGGGGGTGGGGGGGGGGGGATGGC